TGTTGTTTTGGTTTGTTTGTTTTTGTTTTGTTTTTTTTTTTTTTTTTTTCCTGCTCCCCTTTGTTCTGCTCAACACGGGTCAGTTTTGAAGTACTCTTTTTCAGTGTTGGGTATCATCTTTCAAAGAACCCCTGGATCAACTAAAGATTATGCAAATGATAGTTGTAAGGATAAGCAGAACTTTAGAAAATAAAAACCTACAGAGAAATGTGGGGAAAACTGATTTTATTTATCTTGTTTTAACAAGATGACTAAGTAAGGAAGGGTAAGTGTTCAAATATGTAAAAGCTATTATAAAAAGAATAGAAGAAATGACTTTGGTAAGAAAGACCTATTAATTATTAGGAAAAATTAGGATCATCATCAGTAATAATACATTACGCTATTCTGGGCTTGGAAATGAATTTGTCTCATTACTGTTTAACAATTTTTTTTTTTGAAGTTGGAATACTTCAGCAATTTGCATTTGAATGGTTTAGCATACTCTTAATTTCCAGAACAGACAAAATATTGAACAGAAGGTTTGAAGCACTGAAGAAAAAAGGGGGAATGCAGCAAAAATATATGAGTGGAAACTACATCTCTTTATAGAAATAATTACTGTTGCCATTGTTTTGGCAACTATACAGAAATGTCTCTTGAATGGATTTAGGACTGTTTTGTTCTGTTGCATTCCAAAATTTTATAACTATAATTGGGGAAAAAAGATTTTGCATGCATTCTTTATCTCATAGACTGTCACTTGGAAGACTACTGCAGGAAGGTACGTAGCATGATAAGATTTTGTATGTGTAATGATAGTGTGCTGTTAAGTCCTAATACGTTAATGATAGTGTGCTGTTAAGTCCTAATACGTTTTGTTGAATCTAAATTTATTTACATAGTGACGTGGCTTCAGTTTTACACAGTTTAGATTGTGCACAACTTTCAGTTAAGAGGCAGCATAAATTTACAATAAGTCATTTTATTGTTTGTAGTCAGAGGTTGTAACAATTAATATAATCACTGCATGGAAAGATTAATTAGATTACAGGATGTTAAATCAGTATTCTCTGCATACCTGTTCTTGTGTGAGACCTTGCATTACATGAGGGAAGAAAAACTATAGTAGAGAGAAAGATCCTAATGTAAGACAGCTGAATAAAATGTGGGCTAGGGCTTTCTCTGTTCTAAATTTAGGACATCTTTAGAAATACGTAATTTTCTTTGGGGAATTCAAACACCTTTCTTGAGATGCTGCCTTGTGCTGTCCAATTTTGCATCATACTAACCCCTTATTATAGCAAGGGTTGCAAGGGTTTTATGCTATTGCAGCCATCCAGTCTGTAGCATAGAGAAATTCTGTTAGATGCCAATAGTCTTGATTTTAACAGTTCAGAAGGAGAATCCCTGAGAACAAAGAAATCCCAATAATCCTGTAATCCCTGAAAATCAACCAGTGTCAAAGGGTTAAAGACTAAGGATTCTTGTCTTGTTAATTAATTTTCAAGAAGGACAAACTTTTATACCAAATGAAAGAGAAATTTCTAGATAACAAGGTGCAGGTTGCTAGGTCAAGCATTGAATAAAATGATTTTGCAGCAGTGATGTCCTCCTCATTGATTTCAAGTTATTGATCCTGGCAATATTTTTAGAGAAAATGAATGGATAAAGCTACATCTCAGGACTCCTGGCTGGAGGTGTGGTGTAGAACAGTTTCCCATGTGTTAAGTTTTACAGTGAGGATATCTGATCAAAGTCAAGGGAAATTTTTCAGTTGCTTTTGATGATGTTCAAGCCACCATGCTTAGATCCTTTTCTAGGATCATATAAGGAAATATTATGTGAGGTCCCATACAAAAAAAAAAAAAAAAAAAAAAAAAAGATACGTTTTTAAATTTGCTTGTGAGGAGTGAGGAAGGCCATTATGCACACAATCAGTAAAACTGCAGTACTCCTAAATGTTATCCACTAAATCACATAGGTGATATATATAAATAAAAGGGTTTGAGAGAGAAGTGGACTGCAGCCTGAAATGCACTGCACCATCCTTTTTCTGTAGCTAAGTATTCAGTCGAACTGGTTACTTCAAGTGGATAAGCAATATGATAAGAAATGAGTAATAAAACTTGGGATTGAAAGGTCCAGTTGGCAGAAAATGCATTAGTGAGCAGCTCTTCGAGTAGTTTGGCACTGAATCTGAAATGACTTTTCTTTTTTTTTCGTTCTTCCCTATACATACCACGCTCAATTACATATTTACATGGGGCTTTGATATTTAACACACTGATCAATATTGTTTTTTTCCCCATGCTTTTAAGCATTAGAGAAAATATGGGGGAGTCCTATCTGTAGAAGAACTATGGCTCACTACAGTGCCTTCATCTTTTGGAATGACTCCAGAATGGCACTTCCACAGTCTTTTGAGTTGCTGCACTCAGGGAACAATGTTTTCTACCTTTAAGTTAAGCATAAATTCCACTGAAACTCACCAGGAAGACTATGTGTATTGAAACAAAACCAAACCATGCTATCCATGATTGTAACTCTTGGGCATGCCTCTATATGTCTATTTAAGAGGAGAATGCAAAGGAGATTGGTTTGAATGAAACACAAAAATGTAAATATAGCGAGAATGGAAATTGCATTCTGTGGAAAGAAAACACTTGAAATTAGCATTTAATTCTACAATAAGCAAATAGACCAAATTGCGATAGCATGCTACTGATTTTCCTTGCTGCTATTGTCACTCTTCTGTTCCCCAGTCTCAGCTCACGTTTCTTATAGCAGTTCCTCTCTGACTTCATACTGTTAATGAATGGAGATAAGAAATGGGTATTGAAACACATCCATGTTTCTTAAAAAATTCCTTTGTTTGTTGGTAGTAACTATTGTTGCCACTGAAACATAACAGGGCAAGACCTAGGTCTATATCTCTACACTATTAGGGATATCTCTAGTTATTTGTGTTTATAAGGTCGGTTCACTGTCAGTGTACTGAGTGCCACTTGGACTACAGGACAATTTAAAGTTCTAATTTCTGCTTAATTTGAAGACAAGAGGAGGAATATTAATCATTAGGTGGTGGGGAAAGGAGAAAAGATTTTTAAATCATCAAGCCTTTAAATTAGACATCTTTTATGGGATGGAAAGAAATACCGCCTGAATTGAGGAAAATCTTAAAGGTGTGCCAGAGCCAATGGACTATTTATTTCTTTGTAAACATAAGATATGAAGCATTATAGATTTCAACCGCTTTATTTTAAAAACCTTATGATTAGACTGTGGCTTGAGGCACTATGACTATGATTACTGGCTTTCAGTTATGACACTTTAAACTTGCTATACAGAGCGGTTGGTGAGAATGCCCTCTTGCATAAAAGCATTTGATCCTGTGATGGATGTTCTATGATGATGTCCCCTCCCCTATGGTGGGAGGGAAAGGGACAGAATGGAAGTGCAGGGGAACTGGGGAAATAAATAATGATGCCAGCTGATATTAAGATGGCACTGCAGGAGAGATATGTTCCATCCTGTTTTGTGATTTGGTTACAGGGAGTAACTTGCGTGGCACTCAGTTATTGAAATAATATGAAATCTCTGCATGATTTGTCAGGTGGGTTTTATTAACATGCTGCAAAAGAACTTGCTTTCTACATCAGCCTGTGATGTTTCTGAGAGATTTTAACATGTTTAAACTCAGCTCAGTAATGCAGAATGTCTATTTAGATGGGTCTTACATCCTGGACTATGCTCTCTTCAGGCTTTAATCCTCTGCTTTGATGTGCAGTGCTGTAAGGGTCTACTGAAGAACAATAGGCTTCTTAAATTATGTACACTATTTCATATCTTCATAGCTGTTCTGTTTAACTTCTACCATTGTCTTGACTCCATTGCTTCACTGTGTTGTGAAGATGTAAAAAACTGTTAGTGCTTCAATAAGTTTTTATAGTTACTAGAAAGTTTAAAAATGCACGTTATTTAAACTTTAGCTTTCATTCTGATTGCAAATGAAGTGATTACTTCCTTTATTTGTGTAGCAGCAAGCCGAAATACAATCTTGAAAGTGATAAGAAATAAATCAAAAAGGAGGTACCTAAAGGCCTCCTAGAGACACCTTTACACTTGACCCCCAGAATGTCATTCCCCGACTCGTGTGACATAAGGGGATTCCTGAAGAGTACGAGTGGTGTAGCATGAGTGGAGTGCCAGCGTCCAGCCAAGGCAGCCGGGGATCGGCCCCTACAGTTTGTTCCCATACAGTCTCATTACCAAAAGAGGTATGCAAGTGATGCAGAACAATTTGAAATGCATTCTAAACACCGACACAAGGTTCAATAATGCTGTTCACATTGAGGGAAAATAATAGTACAGGGAATATAACTTTTTCCTTTTGCATAGCTAAGATTTGTGCAGGCTCTAGTGTGCTAATTTGTTAGCACTGTGCAATCTTTTTTTGGTTTTACTGTTTGTCTTCTTTTGTTTGTTTGTTTTTGTTAACTTTTAATCACCGTTACGGTGTAACTAGCAAGTGAATGGGCTGTAACCTCTGTTCAAAGATGGCTCCAAGATGTCATCGATAAGAAGGCTACAAATAACTATGGTACTCTCTGGGGCACCCTGTTTCTAAAATGGCAAAACCCTTTCTGCTTGGCCAAAATAAAGCTACAGCCCTGCTCTCCTCTCTCGAGCGGAGCTGCCAACACGGCTCGACAAGTAGCTGATGAGGCTCAGCAGCACTTTCCCCGCACGCTTTCAGGCGGGCTCCGCGGGCGTTTCACCCAACCGGACCCGCCGGTTTCGGGGCGGAACGCCAGCCGCCGGGCCCTCGGCGTTCCCCTCGGGGCCGGGACCCGCAGCAGGCTCCCCCCTCTCGGAGCCCAGCCCCGGGCCCGCCCGCTCCCCCCGGGCCCTCCGCTCCCCCGGGCGCCGGCGGCAGGCGGCGCCGCGGCGGCGAGGAGGGAGGAGGAGGAGGAGGAGGAGGCGGAGGAGGAGGAAGGCGGCCGCCGCCGGCCCCTCTCGCCGCGCAGAGGCGCAGGCAGAGGGCGCTTTCGCCATGCGCGGCCCCCGCCGCCGCGCACCCCCCGGCCGCGCTGCCGCTGACAGGCGTCCGGAGCCACCTCCGCGGCGGGCGGAGCGGCGCGGAGCGGAGCCCCCCGGCCCGGCCCCCGCGGGAGGGCGAAGGGAGCTCCCCGGCTGCGACCGGCCGCTCGGTCCTGCTCTGCCGCTCGCTCTCCCCCCGTCCCGTCCCTTCCCTTCCCTTCCCTCCTCCTCCTCGCTGCGCTTTCCACCTCCCCTGCTCCTGAGTGAGCGCAGCCTCGGATGTCCGGTTTCCTGGTGGGTTTTTTACCTGGCAAACTCCGGATAACTTTGGTGAGAATTTGCCGAGCGGCTGGGAAAGTTGGGAACTCCCCTGCAGGCGTCTAGGAGCTGCTGCTACCGCTACCGCATCTTCTGCATCCCACGGATTTTACCGCCTTGGATATTGCGAGGGGAGGGAGGGGGGAGAGGACGGCGAAAGAAGGGGGAGAGAGGAAGAGAAGGAGCCTCGCAACTTCGCCTGCGTTCCTCCAGCTGCCCCGCGGCCCCGCTCCGCGCCCGCCCTGCCATCTTTGCACGATGCACTTGCTGGGGGTGCTCTCCCTGGGCTGCTGCCTGGCTGCCGGCGCCGTGCTCCTCGGGCCCCGGCAGCCGCCCGCCGCCGCCGCCTACGAGTCCGGCCAGGGGTACTACGAGGAGGAGCCCGACGCGGGGGAGGCGAAGGTAAAACCCCAACCCCGGCCCCCGAGGCAGATGCCGGCTCGCTCCTCTGGGCGTGTGGCTCCGAGTCCGGTTGAACGGACCGCTTGGAAATCCCACCGAGGCAAATATTTGGGAGAAGGCTTTTTAAGTTGGGGAGGTTCTTTAAAAGTAGGGGGAGGATTTAAGGACGGGGGGGGGTGGGAGGGAAACGACAAAAAAAAAAAAAAAAAAAAAAAAAAAACAAAAAGTCTGGGTTTTGAGGGTTGCTGGAGGGAAGGTCGCACGGGGAGCAGCTATTTAGAAAGAAAGGCAAAACACCTGATCAGCAGAGGCAGCCCAAGGGCTCAGCTCCTGCCGTGGTGCTGGGGCGTCCCGGTCCCGGTCCCGCCGTTGGCCGCCGAGCTGGGCCAGGGCAGCGCCCCGCGGGCTTCAGCCGGTCCCGGCCGGGGCGCGGGGGTACCGGGGGCTGCCCCCCCCGGGGGAGCTGCGGGGTCCTGCGGCCGGCTGGGACGGGTGGAACGGTGCGGGGGGGCTGAGAAGCAGCCCGGGGAACAGCTGCGTACGGGAACGAAGCGGCGAAGGAGGCGGGGGGGGGGGGGGGGGGGACGGTGACAACAAAACCCGAGACGTGCCGGTTGTTGAAAAGTCGCTTGGGGTTACTGACACCTTGGATGAGGTGCTGCTGCGTGATAGAGTTGACGGGAGATGTAAGGTGACGCTCGAGTCTGAGAATTTTCATTCTGCCCAGCCACACGGTGAAGGTTGGGCTTAAATTCTCAGATTCCAGTCACAAATACTTCCAATTCTGTGTTCATTGGTGTTTGCATAGGAAGTTTCGTAACGTAGAATTCAGCTACCTTTGGTACTTGTGGTTTTGCAGTTCCTGGTATGCTGATGCATAAAAATGATGCATAGTATGTGGTTGTATAAGTATATGGCATTATTAGGAAGATCTTTGATGTCTGAGTTTATAACAACTCTTGCCCTCATCTCATTGTTTTAAAGATTTCTGACATACTTACTGAAAGCAATCATGAACCAGCTCATTCATTATTCATTTCATTATGGGGCAGGGAGGAATGTGTGGATTAAAAGTTAAGATGATATTCTGATATTTTTTTTCCCCCTATGCTGTTTGTTTTACTGAATAGAAGTTTGGTAGATTTTACTGTAACTGCATAGAAAGTCAAGTTTTGACAGTGTGCCCTAGACATACTTATTTCATGTATTCAAACTGTTGTAGACCATACGTCGCTCACCAAATTCATGCTTTTCAAATAATATTTTGCATGGAAAAGGTTACTAAGTATACTGTATATTCTCAAAATATTTCAGTTACAGACAAATGCTTACATTGCAATGTTCTGAATGCTAATATGCTGTCAGTGACCATATTGCTTAAATGTTTATCAAGTATTTTTCAAACTTAAGTATTTAAAACTTGGAACACAAAATCAATTCAGCTGGTCACTCTTATCACTTAGACTATTTATAAAAGCCCTATAGAATTTAGTGAAGGGCAAAAATACCTCAACTCTTTCTAGCCCATGACTGTAAGCCAGTTATTTACTGGGTAAATCTGATGTTTGAGTTGTAAAGCCTCAGAACAGCTTATGCTGAAAAGGTAGAAAGATTCCAAACTGGAGCATGTTGCATGTTTTGTACATTGAGAAGACCTGCTGATAGTGAAGATATGCATTTAAACGATTCTGTGTGTTCCCATGTACGTGCTGTGGACAGTCACTCAGTAGTGCATTGTGTAGAAGTGCAAGTGCTCCCTGGAAAAAAAGGGAACTGTCAGCAAACCTGAGGAAGAAAGGTCAATAGACTGGGAAGTGAGTGGGATAGAATGTGTTAAGCAATTACTTAACAGAAAAATGTTTTTGTGCCTGACTACTGGTGAGTAGTAGAGAGAGAGAGAGAATGACTCTGGATCCAAGCAGATTTAGTCATGTTGGAAGTCTTCAGTTACAAGTTTGTTGCTTTTGCTGGAACTGTTCAAGTGAGAGAGTACTATGCATATTTGTTCCTGTGATGAGAGAATGTTGAGATGAATGCCTGAAGTAATTATGAAAGGAATAAGTAAACTGTAAGTAATTGAAGGAAAATATTATTATATTGTCAGTAAAAAGTCATCTGCATGAACTTTCTTAACTATTGTGAAAAATCACTTGAGTTTGTGTTCATAGATGTTATGCTTCCTCTGTTTTTACTTTCCATCCATATGCCATACTGCTGCATCTTAAACTGATGTCTACGTGCAGGTCATACAGCCTTTTGGGTCAACTCTACACAGTATATTAATTTCTCCTTACTATTTTAAGAACTTCAACTTTAGAAACATTTTTAAAAGCATGGATGAAGTTGGGGGTTCTCCAACACAGGAGGAAAAGCTGGGCAGAAGATAAGGGTATTGTGTTTTTATTCACGTAAGTGTTATGCATTACTATTGTCCTAGAGATTTGCAGCAACTTGGAAGTGTTACAGATATAAATAGCAGTAGTTTTTCATACACAGCTCTTGCAAGGGCAATTTCTGCAGCAAGTGAGCACTGATAAGTTTGTGCAGCACTGCCTCCACCGCCCTCCTCACCCCCCCCCCCCCCGTTTTTTTTTTTTCTTCCAGCCTAAGGGTAAAGTTCATTATTTAACAAGCTTACAGGGCCCAGATTAATACTTTTCAGCTGAACCGTCTGCTCAGTGGGATGGGAGTGAATCCTGCCCATAGACCACCTCCTTCGGATTTCCTGCAGCACAGGGGTGGTTGCCCCGAGGAGGGGACCCCCTTGCAGCCGCACCCCACAGGAGGCAGGGCATCCCTCGGTGCCCTCTCTCCATCTGAGTGGCATGATGCTGAAGAAAACAACCTGGTATTTCAGTTCTCTGTCTGCTTAAGGTGGGACGGGGGGAATGGGCCCTCCTGCCCCTGGAGCGCCTGCGGTTTGGCAGGGATGCTCAGAGTACCTGCAGCAAGGAGAAGGGTGAGCAGTTGCATGACAGCAGTGACTTGAAACTTTAGCTTCTTGTACCGTCTGTGCATATTTTAATAACTCCTACAATGCATTTAGGCTCTGGCTCTTGTTCCTTAGGTAGTTTTGAAATAGGACGGTGTGGTGAGTATACGCTGTCAACCTGAGAAGGTGAAGTATTTAAAGAATTATTTTATTTATTTATTTTACTGTTTGCTGAAAGTTTCAAACTGAACTGGAGGGACTACACAGGCATCTGGGGCATTAATTAAACTTAAGGTTATTGAAATGGTGGTGTGACAGTAGCATGTACCTAGACTGCATTAATGGTGATAGGGTAACAATAGCAGGAGTATGCTATTATGGTAACAATAATTGTAACAGTGGTATGGTAACAATAACTGGAAAGAAGCCACATAGCTGGGAGGGGTTGCCATAGCTGCACCTTCATTTAATTTCATAGTCAAACCTTTAGGATTATGTGAATATGCAAAAGTAGTATTGGTCAATTGTCCCAGATGGTTTTAAGAAGTTTATATTTATGTAAGGATTTTTAGTTTTGTATTTGAATGGGAATAACAAATGAAAATGTATTTGCCTGTTCTAAAGGGCATCCCTGAAAGTGGCATTGGGGCCTCTTTACACAGACAGACAGCAATAAAGTACAGAACGGTCTTCTTTGTGCTGTGATTCTGTGATTTGCTTTTTACAATGAAAATAGGTGTGCTTCTTTGAGCTCCATTTATCTTGGATGCTACCTCAGCTGAGAGATATCTTTTTATTATTATTATTTTAAAACTATTTTAAATCTGACCTAATGATAAAATGCTGTTAGTTGATGGCCAATGGAATTTAAACAGTTAGTGTGGGAGTGTGAGGAAAGGCAGTGTGTCAATTCCTGGGGTTTCCTCCTGTCACTGTATCCTGACGGCGTAACCTCAAACCCATCAGTTTTATGGCCACCTTTAAGTTTATGAAGTGTGCCTTAATCTTAGTTGTGATGTTACATGCACTGGTGGGAGATGAGGCTGGGTTTTCCACTCTGAAAACAAGCATAAACCTTACTTCTGGTACTCAAGCAGTGCTAGATTGAGTGGGTAGGGAGAATGTTATTTTTTCTGCTGTTGCTGTTTTGTCTGCTGCAACTTTCCTTTTCATGTATGTGTAGCCACTCTTTTTTTCAGACACATGCACACACAGAAAGATGCTGCCTTTTTTAAAAAGAATGATTTGTATCGGATAAAAGAGGATGAATATAAGTAATATAATAGGACCTATTAAGGAGACTAAGCAACTCTTCTGCAAACATAATTACTGAACACTGGCATAGCCTTTTGTGTGAGTAGAGTATAATACTAAGCTCCAAGAGCTCATGGCACTTTCTAGTTCTTGGTGTAGGTATGTGCATTCCTGGGTATCTTGCATAAGCACGCTTGTGTGCCTGTGAAGGACTTCACGGCATTGCTGCTGACAAATAACTGCACTTCTGAAGGTTCTAAAAAAGCTTTGGGGATCACTCTAACTGTAGTGTTTGCAGGCATATGGAAACATCTCATCAAAAATATTATTTTTACGCTCACTTAGGTTCAGTGTATGTTTAAAGTCTTGCATGTTCTTCAACGGTGTGTATCCACTTATTTTAGTGAAAACAAACCAGGACTTGTTCTTCAGGCTGTTGTAGTTGAGGGTAATGGTAATAATCCTTTCCCATTGATACCCTGCGTCCAGGATAGGAAGTCTGTCTAGAACCTCATGTTCAGCTGCTGCTTTTTTGAATGTGGTCAGTGATTCATTAAAACAAAAAAAAGGGAACAAAGGGAATCCAGCTGAAGTCAGACCGGTATCCTAACAAGTTTAATATCCTTGTTTAATGTAAAAAATGTGCCACAGCTGTTTGTAGAATGAACTATACAAAATTCCAAGTAAGGTTGTTATTTGAAAGATGTAGGCTCTGTCGAAGTCTAAGTTGCTTCTTAAGAGTTTAGTTTGGTAAGATACTGGATTTTGTTTGGTGAGTTGGATAGGTAGGATTGTTTTCATTATCTGTTATAAA